CGCAGCGAACCCCCCCATGGCAGTGGGGGCTGGGCCAGACCCACCTGCCCCGGTGTTTCTGTCCAGTCTATTTGCCCCCTCCCCTTCTCCCACTGCCCCCCCGGCCCCATCTCTGCACTGTGTACGTAGCACACATCTCCCTCACGCAGCCCCAAGAGCCTCAGTCGGACGTGCAAACCACCAAGGAGCCTTCCCGAAGGAGCAGTCAGGCATCCAGTGAGGCCATCCAGCCCGCCAGGACCTCTCCCGGGGCACCGCTGCAGGAGCCGCCTGACGCCGGAGCAGGAGCCGCGGCCCCGCTCTGCCCTGAGCCCGGCTGCACAGAGGTCCGGCTGGAGGCAGACGCGTCCCCGCAGCCCCCGGCTGCACACCAGCCTTGCTCCCAGCAGACCAAGCACGGGGGACAAACCCCGTGCTCCCACCAGCCTGCTGTGACAGACCTCGGACGCAGCGACATCAGCTCGCCCAAAATCCCAGCCTCGATCCCCCCAACTGAAAGGGGGGACAGCCCTTGGCAAGCCGCCCCGCTGCAGGTCCCTGCAGGTCCCCCCGCTCCCAGCCCAGGGGGCAAATCCTCGGGGCTCGGGGCATCGCAGGCGTGAGAGCCAGCCGGCCACCTCGCGCTGGGCTCTGAGCTGGCTTCGCTCTCCCCCCGTCCCCTCCCACCAACCATCCACCCCTTGGGACACACAGACAAGCAGAAACCACCTTCCTACCCCAAGGGTGAGGAGGGGGAGCGCGTCAAAGAAGCCTGAGCAAGGCCGACACTGGGACAGCACTACATGGCCCGGACTTGTGTTTTCATAGCAATTGGAAAAATACAGGTTTGAAAAAAAAAAATAAAAAAAAAATCCCTGTGTTTGGTTTCAGTAGCTCAGGGCAGAGCCCCAGGTGGGTCTGGGCTGCGTGAGTCTGCGCCGGGCTTTGGTGTCAGACATGGTGCCCTCTCCGGGCTGTACCTCAGCTCGTCCCATTTACCAGTGTCTCGTGCTGGAAATTTGGGACCAGCCACAGGCCCGGGGCCGCTCACAGCTCCCCCGGCCTCTCCCCACGCCACAGCAGCAGAGATCCCACTGCCGCAGGCTGTTTTCATCCATTCCTTGTCCTGTCTCTTGGTGGGGGGAGAGCACTGCCATCCCCCTCCGGCTGCTCGCGGAAGGGAAATAAAGTCTGCAAAGCACAGCTGAGAGACACAGAAAAGTCTAACTTCGTTAGCAGCTGGCACGCACCACAGAATAGCTCATTAGCGAGCAGAAATGGGTTCCAAATAATAGCCATTTCAGCAACTGCAGGAAGTAATTGGTTTAAAGCTAAAATACATTCATTTTCACCCAGGAGAAGCTCTCTCCTGCTGGGGCACGCGGCTAAACTGAACGGGATTCGGCGTCAAGTCTTTTCCCTCTGCCACGCTGACAGCAGACGGTTTTTCCTCCTTTGTGATTTCTCATCTCTGAGGCTCTGCATCCCCTCAGGGCTTCGATGCCTTCTGCTAATTAAAGGAGTGGCAGATTTGTTAGGTCCAGCAGAGGACCTGAGCGGGCGGGCGGGACGGGGCTCAGATCAGCGGCAGAGGTAAAAGCAATCGCGTGGAAACAAGCCTGGCCGGCGCAAGGGATCCTGGAGAGTGTTATTGGACCGGCTCCCCTCCTGCCACTTCAGGTCTCCATCAAAAGCCCGATGAGGAGAGCAGATGTTCCCCATAAAGCCAACATTTTGCCGGCTGATGATGGGAACGTGAAGGAGGATCCTTCCTGAAACAGAGCTGAGACTCTTGCTGGGATGGGAAAGCAGAACAGAGCTCCTGACGGGAGTGTCCTCTTTGAAAAGCTTTGCTTCTGGTAGCAAATGTTAAAAATTGGGCAATTTGAGCAAAAAGCTCCTGGACCTCGACATAATCGTTTGTACCAGCACAAACAACTGCAGTCGAGGTAGGAAATTCCTTTCTGCCGGGCTGGCAGCGTTTCACCAACAATTCAACCCCACGCCCGGCAGCTCCAAAGGTCAGGCACTACACCTGCCCCTAAACCCTGCACACAGTTTGTTTTTCCATTGCTCAGCTCGGCTGCTCTGGGAAGTGGCGACTCCCTGGATCTCTGGGCACAACACCCCTTCGTGGCTGATTTCGCCTCAGTGCAGCGTCGGACACAGACGACAAACTCAGCGGCTCAGTGTGAAGGATCAAGGCTGCTTTATTGCAAAGGTGGACAAGTGCTGAAATGAGAGCTGGTGGCAACACGCGACCGGAAAACCACATCCCTCCCATCATGTCAGAGACAGATTAACTTCCCAAGAGGGGAAAATCGGACGTTTTTCACTGGCAGGGGCTCCAGGGCCCCAAAGCTGGCTGAATCACGACATTTCAAGGACAAGGGCTGTGGACTGAACCTCTGCAGGTCTGAGCACCCCTATCCCAACCGGCTCACGCTGCCAGGCTCGGAAAGCGCAGGGTCCTGGTGCAGCACCGATCACCTATTCCCCTCACGGGTGCCGGCGTTGGCAGCTCCGCCTGCTCTCCCTGCCCTGGCACGGGCTGCCTCAATGGAGATGCTTGTCCTGCGCCAGGCCTACACACGCACTACCAGCAGTGCCAGAGCCCACACGGACCTGTGGGGACACAGATTCGGCATTGTCTCAAGCTTGGGGACAGAGCAGAGAAAAGAAACGCCCTGGAGTTTGCCTGGAAGAAGCTAGGCAGCTCTCTGCGAGCGATTGAATGTGCCAGGATCGGCCATTAATTTGTGCCCGGCTTTCCGTGGCTGCTCCGGCACGCGGCACAGCAGGAGAGAGCCCGGCCTGTCTCGCCCCCTGCTAAGGGGGTTAGCACATCAGCGGGGCTAATGAAAAGCAACTCTGATCATCCACAAGATTCGCAAGGAGGGGAAGCACCACCTTCCCCAAAGATTTGTAGTTACTCAGGAGCCTGTCCTCCCGCCTCCCTCTCCACGCACGTCTTGAGGTAGGCCAGGACGGAGCAAATCTTCCAAAAAACGGGAGGCCATCAACAGGGAGGCGCCTTCACATTGCTGCGAGGCCAGCGGAGGAGAGCAGGGTCAAGATCAGGACCAGCACCCCAGACTGGTTAACCTGGGGGATCTTGAACCCCTTTCCCATGTCCCATGCCTGCAAGTGAGAAGAGACACAGTAGGGTTAATTCAACAGGGCGAGGACAGTCCCCGACGGGGATGTGCGTGAAAGCACTACCTTGTTAAGGAAAGCTTGCAAGACTGCCCTGAAAATCAGCCTTTGGACCACTGGGTACAGAACAGAGGGAGGGCTGCAACCGTCCATCACTGCAGGGCAACAGGCAGGGGTGTCCCTGGGTGCAGGCACACGTGCTCCGTGCCAGAGGAAGCTTATCCCCCACCAACACCCCCCCATCTATCGGCAAAGCCGCCCGTGAGCTCTCCCTAATCCCCAACAGCCGCAGCGCGCCAGGTTCGCTTCAACAGCGGCAGCTGCTCTCCGCTTGCTTCTCTCCTGCTGACAGAAATAGGTTATAAAGCACGGTGCAAGCCGCAGATCTGAGGCAGCGCTAACATCCCCGGGGCAGAGCCGAGCGGGTGGGGATGAGCCGCAGCCCCCAGCACCCCCGAGTGCTCCCCTGGGGTGCGGCGCGAACCGCGGAGGCCAGGCTGAACCCACATGGCAGGAAGGGACAGTGGAACAGGACCCCAGAGCTGGGTGTCCTCAGCTCCCAGGTGGGTTTGTACCTCTCACCTGACTTTGGCCAAACCAAAGCGGGGTGGCTGAGGGCAGCCGGGGAGCGCACGCCTACCCCCAGCCTGACAGCGAGCCCCCGGGGCTCAAAGCAGAGCAGCACCTGGGGCAGAGGCACTAAATCGAACCTGCTCCCCGTTGACTCCCCTTCTGTCATCGACGGGCTGCGCTGCCGAGCGCAGCCGGGGGCCAATGCTGCTGGTTTCCTTCTCAGACAATTTAATTGGCATCCTAATATATATGCGGAGTCAGAGACTTCAGCACACATTCGACTCACGACCGTCTGAACAAGCAGCCGGTTATGACAGCTCCATTTGCCCAACAGCATCTCCAAGAGCGTGTGGGGCTCAGCCGGCTGCGGGCCTCGTGCTCTGAGACCTCGTCCGATGCAGAGTGCTTGAAAAGTGGATAATGAGCACCCGCAGCACTGCCCACCCACCACCAGCGGCCCCGAGGACCTGCAGAGAGGGCTCCTCTCACAGCACACAGCTGTTGTTCACCCCAACAGCTCAGCCAGGCGCCTCCTGGCACTCTGACACGAGCACCTCATAACGGCTGCTCTTGGGCACAGGACGCAACATCCAACAGTGCTCAAGTCCCGTGTTTCCACACTGGAAACACTGGAAGCTGTCAGCGCCCGCAGCGCGAGCCCACGTCTGCAGCGCGGCTCTGCACGTGATGCTCCCCCCACCCAGAGCAGGAGGATCGTGTCACGCTCCAGGCCAGCTGCCTTTGCAATTTGCTCTTGTAAAACCTAACCTATCTGGAGCTACAGAAAACACAAAATCAACTACAAAAAGCAGCACGTCTCGTACTGTTCCCAGCAAGAAACTCTCAGCTCTGCAGCTCCCCCTCCTTCGTCAAACACAGGAAGCTCAGCTGAACGGAGCTGCTTGTTCCACACTTCAGCCCAGGGCAAACATCACAAGTTACTTTCTGCGCAGGCAGCACCGTCTCCAACTCTCTGCCACACGTCTTCTGGGCTCATTAAGTACTATAAAGCACTTGGAAGATGATCACAGCGCAACAGCTGCGTGATAAGGGTGAGATAATGAGCAACGTGTGGCACCTCTGCGGGGCTCGAGCCTGCAGCGCTGCGGACATGTCCCCCGGCTCTAACGCTGCTCCTGCCACCCCTCGTCCATCTCCTGCAGCCGAGGAGATGTGGGGGGATGCTTCAGCCAGTTGTGCCGCCCGGTGAAGTACCAGCGTTGCGATGCTCTTTGCAACTTAAATGTACCCAAAAATAGCACCAAGGCTCTGAAGTACTTGAGGTGACTAATTCCCATTTTGAAGGGCACCTTCCCAGATGCAGCAGCGGGCACTCCCGCAGCCGGCTGCTTCCCTTCCCTTGTGCCCCCAGCCCCTCGCGGGGCTACTTACAAGGTGTCGGACTCCGTTCCAGGTGTGGTAGGAGAAGGGGAAAGCCAGAGCAAACTTAGCAGAGTAGATGAGAGCGGGCCCCAGGCTGAGCGACTTCACCATGGCCAGGTAGTGGGGAAACTGTTCTGGGAGCAGCAGAGCAGCCAGACCGAAGAGGGAGACTCCTGAGGAAGACAAAGCCCACAGGTCAAGCCGGCAGAAGCGTTACCAGACTCGTACTGCCCGCAAAGAGCCCCAGACCCCCTCTGCGTCTCTGGTTTGGTGACACAGCCTGAACCACCATCAGCTCATGGTGGCCCGTGGAGGGAGGAGAAAGGTTCTGCCTGCCTGGTGGCAGTGCCAGCTGCACTGTGACAATGTGCCCTGGGGTGCTGAGAACTCAAACTGGGGCAACAGCACCCTGAATCTGGGGCTGCATACAACACCCAGAGACCAAACTGGCCGGAGCTCACGCAATTGCAGCCGAACCAGCCCAAATTCAAAGTTAAAGGGACAACAAAGTTTGGAAATGCAAGGTGGCAGCTCTTCAACGAAGTCCCCAGATCTGCATCTCCGGATAGAAACGCCTCTGCCACCAACTGCTGACAGAGACAGCGATGTAGCAAGGCCGCCTTGGCAGGGACCAGCAAAGGAACTGGCAGACAAAGAGACAGCCTGACATGCGTGGCTGCACTAGCTGCAGGAGCCGCAGCAGCTTCTCCTCCTCATTTCTAGGCCAACAGGGTTGCTCCAGATGGTGCTGCCAAAAGAATGGGAATGATCGCAGCCAGCAGTCAGCCAAGTCGCGATTCACCCTCCACTCAATAGCGCCTGATTACACTGCGGCACGCTAGCTCGAGCGCCTGGGCTGAGGCCGGCGCTGGCAGCGCGAGTCAACCAGCTGCTTCCTCGCTCAGCCACTTGTCTCCTCAATGGCCTTTGTGTTTGCCCTGCAAGAAGCGCAGGAAGTCAGAGGCTCCTGTAATTACAGGCCTTGACGGAGAGGAGTTGAACGCTTCCCCCTCCTTCTCCTGGCTGCTGAGCTGTGGTCGGCAGAAGCGATGTTCCTTCGTGCTCGATCGGCCTGGGAAGGGGATGATTTCCCCTCCGGCAGAGGCTGATGGATCAGAGCTGAAAGGCAACAGTGAACCTGCCAGCTCAGCCCATCTGACGGCAAGCTGGATGGGGACTGCGGCTCACAGGGCCAGGCATGTCCCAAGCTCCTGGAGATAAGATCCCAAGGCCGGGTGGTGCCAGCACGGCTGCCATGCAATGCTCTGGATCCGTGCACGGAGCAGGGCATGCAGCCACCCCGAAGGAGGCAGCTGGGCTCACAGGGTGCGCGCAGGCAAAGTCACCTTGCCGTGCTCGGAGCAGGCAGCCGTCAGCTGCTCTCCCGCAGAGGATGCGTGCCACTCTTCGCAAGGCAAAGCTGGGCACAAGCCGGCTGGCCTGGGAGGAGCAGAGCCTGGGGACAGAGCCCAGCCCTCCCCAGGGCTCTGCTGTGCGGATATGGGAGCAGGAGAGCACGTGGGTGCCCTTTTCTGAGGGCCCAGCTCCCAATCCCTCACAGCAGATCAGGCTGGGAAGGGCAGGCTGCAGCCCTCGCGGCTCCCTCTCACTCTGCCAAGTGAGGAACACAAGTTCTCAGTCTTGCACATCTTTCCTGAGTACCTTCACTCTGTCCTTCTGCAAACAACCCAGCTCCCCCGTCTCAACAGGGAACTACCAGAGAAGCACCTTCCTGCTGCCATGAGAGGGCATTAATGGAAATAAAGCAGCCTTTCACAGTTAGAGTCCTATCACTTAGTCAAACCATGCAAGTCAAATTGCTGGAAGGAGTTTATCGGTTTTGATGCTGGCGCCGCCTTCTCTCCCACCGGGATCTTTGGGAAAGCAGCAGCCACTCCCAGGAAGCTGAAAAACTCCACCTGTGCTAAGGAAAATGCTCTGAGCTCTGCCTGCCTGCCTGCTTGTCTTTCCCTCACACAGGGTCTTCTGTAAGGCTAAACCAGCAAAAAACAGCCATGGAAGAGAAGGGCTGAGAACTGGAGCAGTTGATTGGCCTTTTCCAGGCTGGGGAAGGCCCCGAAGAAAGCAGCCGGGCCAGGCCAAGTGCTGCAAAGGCTTTGAAGGCTTTTACGTACAGGGGAGCACCGCTCCCTTTGCAGGACTGGAGCCACTCGCCGCACAGGAGAGCCCAGGGACAGAGAAACGGGGATGGGGAGATGTTCAGGGTACAGTGTGAGCACAGGACAAAATGCAGGTTTCCCAGAAGAAAACCCATTGCTGAAGGCAGGTGACAGAGGAGAGAAAACATCCGCCTGGAATCACATCTCCAAATCAGTCAGAGAGTTCTTCCCTCCTGCAGCCCCCACCCTCCATCGCCACGAGCAGGTGGGAGATGCACGAACCTAAGCTCAGCGCAACGCCGGTACCCCGGTGCGTGATGGACATCGCCATGGGCAGGGACCACCTGAAAAACAACCAACCTTGTCAGCACAACAGGGCACAACACCAGGGAGGCCTCCGAGGCCGCGGGACAAACCACAGCCCATCTATTCCTAGACAGCTCCGTGCTGCTGGGCGGGTATTTCTGCACTCAGAGTTATTCAAGGAATCCAGCCAGAGCAAAAGGGGAGAGACGGGGGAATTTGCAGAGGCAGCTTGGGAATGGCAAATGCCACTGGCACGGGTTTGGGAAGGGGAAGGGCGTCTGCTGAGAAAGCTTAAAGCGAGATGAAACAGGAGAAGACTGTAATGCTCCTGCAGTTGAGGAACAAAGGGCATCCAGGCTCACAGATAAACGAGAGAACCTGGAAAAGTGCCGGAGGCGGCCCCAAAGAAGCCGTCACCTTTCTGAGGAGGGAACCGGAGAGCCCCGAGTTGGCCTCCTGCCTCCGCCCCCGAGGGCCGCCAACTCCACAGCGGGACGCGCCGTTCTGTGAAACCGCCCTCTGTGGGAGCAGCTGCCTTTCAGCAAAAGGCTGCGCTGCACCTCGAGGTGCAGCTCTGCGGGGACTGTACCCCTCTGCAACACCCCGTACGAAAACAATGAGTGTCATCACCTCCCTGTGGGAGCCTGTGATTCCCCCACACAGCTCAGACCATTCACAGTGCAATTTAGAGGGTCTCCGTGTCCTCAGCCTGAAGAGACAGTGAGAATGCGCGCAGCCCTCCCACCCAAGGGTGCCTCTGGGGACGGGGCTGCCATGTGCCAGAGCCCAGAGGTGCCCTGGTGCGAAGCTGAGGAGGCCAAGAAGCTCTTACTTGTAAATGGTGACATGAGGGGACAAGGGACGATTGGACTTGGTGTTCTTCTCCCAGAAGCGGGCCATCTCCTCCTTGGCCGTCGTTCCCATCGGGACAACACTGCAAAAGAAGAGGAGATGGGAGGTGTGGGGAGGCGGGCAGCGTTTTACCCCTGCTCGCTCCACTGGGCTTTGCTGCAGCAGCTTTCCGTCTTACAGGATGGAAGCTCCTGGCTGACCTTGACTACAGCAGCACAAAGAACGGTTCCAGCTGTGCACGGACACGGGTGAGGAGCGGATCACAGCCAGCTCTCACGAGTGAGTAATAATAATAGACTGGATGGGAAGCTGCTGCACTGGAATCCACTCAGCCAGTGGAGCTGAGCCGAGCCCCCCCCAGCACCACCCAAATCAGGGTATAGGATATCAGATAACACATTATATAATACTGATAACATGCAACCTGCTCTTTACTGCCACGGTAATTGCACACTGTACCAAATAAAGAGCTTGTAATTTAATGTTCCTGAGATTACACAGCAATTACACTTACAGCCCAATTTAGCAGAAAATAACTATTTCTCCCTAAGCCTGGCAGCACGGAGCGCAAGAACAAGAGGGCTTCTGTGGCTCCCATCCCTCCTCAGGTGCAAAGCTGTCGCGCAGAGCAGCACAGAGGGGTGACAGCGGTACTGCTGCCCCCATGACAGACCCAGGCCCACCTCAGCAGCCAGCCAGACTCTCCCTTCACCCGTCCACAAGCCCCAGCCCCTCCGTAAATAGGCTGTGCCCTCATGGTGGCATGAGGCAGTAAGTGCCCAGAAAACACATGGCGTTGATTGACCAAAATTACTAAGCGGATGAAGTGCATGTATGCCACAAAGCCTTAGAGAGGATCCCTCAGGGAAGAACTTAATCCCGTTACTCTCAGTAAAACCTCGGACTCACTGTCGCACAGAAAGGCTGGGGCCAAGCCGAGCCAGCAGGCATCGCCGACCGACACACCTGTAAGAGAGAAGACAGAAAGGCTTTGTGAGTGCCAAATAAATGTCTGAAAACTCCAGCAAGATGGGGCTGGGGAGAGGATTTGCCACTTTAGTGTATCTTCAGTTTCTTAAGATCAGTCTTTACACAAGAGGATCTGGGCTGTTCCTCGACAAATCTTCTCTCCCCTACACTGAGCTATTAACCAGAGTCTCTAGACTCTGCCCGAGGGTTCATTCTTTACAACACCCTGTAATTAGTCTGCTCAGCTGTAATACCTTGTTTGTAAGACAGACATAAACAGCACTCTAAGCTCACAGCTACGCTGAGGCAGTCCATTTTTCACTCTCACTACAGTAATTATCAGGGCGGGTGGCACACGTCCCCAGAAAGGCACATCTGCAGAGTTTTGCAGAAAGGGCTCGTTCAGGCCACGGCTCTCTGCGCATCCAAGATGAAGACATCACTTCCCCTGCCTCCAAACACTGATTTTCATCGCAGAGTTTCACTGCCGCCATTCCTTAAGGTCCGAGCACCAGCGAGATGGGAGGTCGCTGTCACAGCCCAGCACATACAGTGTTTCAGCCACGCCAAGGCTAGGGGCGGGAGGTAAAAAGGGATTTTGTGGCACCCGAAGGAGTGGGTGCTGCTCTCTGCAAAGCGATTGTAGTAACCACGACTCTGACATTCAAGGGCATCTCTCCAGGAACGGGGAGGAACAGGCCCCCAGCCCAGCGCAGCTCGAGCGTTTGCAGATGTGGGTTGGAATCTGTGGCGCCTGCTCCTCTCCAGGACAAAGCGTAACAGGCAGCGCTGCCTTTCCTGACGACACAACAGGAATGAGGTGTGTAATAACGTTTGGCCCGCTCGTCTGCAGCACAGCGACAAACACTAATTAATCTTCCCAAACGCACAAGCATCTGTACCAGCATCTCCTGCTGTTTCATTAACAGCGGGAGATAAACGGAGCTCTGCTGCTCTTCAGTTGTCCTACAGCCGGTCTCAAGGACATGGTAGGAAAAACATCTGGAGGTCAGCTCTTCACCAGGTGTAAATGCAAAACAAAAGTCATTATTATTAACCACTCCAAGTTCCTGTGTAAATGATCGTTAGGATGTTTCCTTTCAAAATCCTCCCTCGCGTTCAAAGGCTGGACTTGAAACACAGCAGGTTTTTAGGAAGGCATCCCGGCTGGATGCATGAGTTTTCGGCAATGTAGAATTCAGCCCATGCTGCAGTGCAATATTTCCAATTGAAAACCCTTCTTTGAACCATCTGTGGTTTATCAACTCCCTCCCTGATGTGTGGCCTGACAGTGAGACCGAGAGCTTCAGGGGGGCACAGCAACAGCTGAGCTTGGTCAAACCTCCAAGCCCACCATTGTGTCCAAGAGCAGACAACAACTGATCCCTGGAGAAAAGTCTCAGGAAAAACACAGGAGCACCCCCACCATGTGCAGCTCACCCACTTCCCAGGCCAGGGGGTATCAGTCCATAACAAATGGCATTGCCACCTCTCGGCCCCCCCATCTTTCTGCAGGAATTCTCACAGCTTAACCAGACACAGAGAATCCGCTCCCTGCTTGTCCTGAGCCACCACGGACCAGCACCGGCTGCCACCTCCCGGTTCCTGGGTAGGGGAGAGGAGGTGAACGATAAATCTCTATCCGCAGCCCATTAATGATTTATACCCCTCGCTCATGCCCCCCTCAGTCCTCTGTTCCAGATTAAAAGGCCCAACCTACTTCATCTCTCCCTGTACGGAAGCCACTCCACACCTCTTCTGGGGGCTGGGGCGGTGGAAGAGGGAGGGCTTGTTTCAAATCACACACAATATTCAAAACAAGAATAAAATCCACAACGCGTTTGCATTTTTTCAAAGCTAAACTCCTCAGCAAGAACTCCCCATCCTCTTGGCTCAATTTTAATATTTTTTTTTTCAGATGCAAAGCATTACATCTTGCTTCACTGCAACGACTACGGTTGCAAAACACAGCCCTCCAGCTAAGCAATCAAGGTCACTCTGTACCAAGGACCTGTCCTCTTCATTATTTATCATTCTCTAAGTTGTTGCATCTTATCCAGCTCTCCCTCCATTAACTTGCATTTTCTTCCAGATCAGTGATAAACATGTTTTTTTAAAAAGAAGAACTAGCCCTAAAAGAGGATCCTCCAGAACCCCGCTGAGAGCTTCCCACAGTACCCCAGCCAACTCCTGCTCTCCTCCACACCCGAGGAGGGTGCAAAGACTCAGGGGACCCCCGGATGGTGTTGGTTATCGAGGACTTTACAGAGCGCAGGTGCTCACGCAGAGGTGGAGAAGGACAAGTGTCAAGCAACAGCTCAAACCAGATGTCTATAAACACCCAGCAGTGGAACAGCACTAGCTGCACACACCCCACCACGCAGCTCCGTTATCTAAGGAGGAGAATTTCAGGAGTCGCGGGCAACAGCTCTGGAGCAGCATCAGCTCAGCGTCACATCGATAGACGTCGTTAACATTTATCCTGCAAGACAGGTCTATAAAAATCACTCGGATTTCACCACGGAGGAGGCAAATGAGAAGCCATTATATATGCTTTTTCATCTGACAAGCAGAAGCAGACGCGAGATGAAGTTACCAGGTGCAGGCTGCAAACCAGAGCGAGCAACTTCTCTCTTGTTTTTCGAGCAGCGGCTGCGGGGTGCCCACCCCAGCAGGTATCACACCCCCCCTACCCGCTGCCGGCAGATCCTGCTTTTAAACAAACTGGCACACGCAACAAAGAGCTTTCCACAAAAGCATGACGGCTCTGGCTGCCACTAAAAAGAGAATATATTAAGAGAATGAAATCCCAGACACTGTCTCCAGGCTGATATCAAAGAGACCATTGGGAATAGGGGGGCTGGGAGGGAGACAGTCACAGCCTCGAGGAGGCATAAAGCTTTCCAGTGGGGGTGGCAGATGGGAAGAGGCACCTTCAGGCCAGGTGAACACAACGTGTTCGCTGCTCAGCACTGCAGGCACGGCGGGACACACTCCCGCACGGGACCGCTGAGCTCCTACAAAGCCACCAGCACCCTGTTGGGTGGCCCTGCGAGGTGGGGGATGCCCCCCACCCCCAGCACCAGCTGGGTGGTACCATGGACATTTGTCCACCCAGTCAAGGCCACCGAGAGCCACAGGAGAGAGGGACGGGGAGTAGGAAGGAGCGGGCCTGCTCTCCTCACCGAACCACCCCTGCCAGCCCCACCAAAAAACTGGTCTCGGCCCCGCAGAGCGCCCAGACCTCGCTTCCCCCCACCGCAGCCCCGGGGAGGGGACACACACACACACACACACACGCATGGCCCTGCTTCCCCCTGCTCCGCGGTTCGCCGCTGGCACCCCGGGAGCTCGCCGCGGCGGAGGGGCAGCACGGTGCAGCCGCCCGGG